TATAAAAAAGGCTGAGGTTATGGGTGTGGTGGCGCACGCCTTTAATCCCAGCACTTGGGAGGCAGAGGCAGGTGGATCTTTGTGAATTGGAGGCCAGCCTGGTCTACATAGTGAGTTCCAGGACAGCTGGGGCTACAGAAAGACCCCCGTCTCAAAAAGACAAAAAAAAAAGCTGAGGCTCCCTCCAGCATTTTTCTCTTCAACCAGAAGATATTAACCAAAGTCCACATAACGGGCTTCCCTTCTTGATCTTTTTGTTGCTCACAGGACCTTCCTTACATCTGAAATGAAAGAATTATAAACTTCGGACTTTGCTTTAACTGAATTCATTGTAATCAATCATGTCATGTGTGTTCAAGTAATTGTTTAGGTGACATTTTATGTATAAAGCAGTAAGAAGAGAAAATTTGCCCCAAGAATTCTTGAAAACTACGGAAAAATTGCTGCGGCCACTTCATTTCCACATTTTTTAACCTACTGTATACTAAAGTTACTATATGTGGCACACCGAATTTAAGATGTGTGTACGGATTCAAACATAAATCTTTTTAGGATGATTTTTCTTTGCAATTACGGCCCTAAGGTATAGGAGCTATTAGTGTCTGACTGTGCGCTCCTTTTCTGGAAAACAGGTTTTTTAAGGTCCTTGTCTTGACCAATTTGGAACTAAAGAGAAAATAAAAATGGTCATTTTAAAGCCAAGCTGTTCCCAGGTCTGCTTGTTTAAAGGTTTATAAAAGACAGTGAGTTAGACTGAGGATGTAGCTCAGCTGGCAGAGTGCTGGCCCAGCATGTACTAAGCCCTGGATTCCACCCCCAGCTTCACATAAACCAAGTGTGGCAGGAGGGTCAGAATTTCAAGGTCATTCTGTGTGTGTGTGTGTGTGTGTGTGTGTGTGTGTGTGTGAGAGAGAGAGAGAGAGAGAGAGAGAGAGAGAGAGAGAGAGAGACAGAGGTAGGCGGATCTCCATGAGATTGAGGCCAGCCTGGTCTCCTTATTGAGTTCCAGGCCAGGTGGGGCTGCAGGGAAACCTTATCTCAAAACAAAAATAAAAACAAAAACAAAAAGGTATGGGTGAGGAAAGGAAAGGAAAAGAAAAGGAAGGCTGTTTGTCCAAAGACAAATAAGACAAAAAGAAACTATTGAGATATAAAGTACATTTTTAGGAAAGAAGATTTTAGAAAAGGAAGTGCTTTTAAATGAGACAGGATTTTAGACGACAGTTTTAAAGTATAATTAAATGTCATTTAAAATCCTGAAGCCTTATTTGGGAAGGAACTCACTGTGATTCTAGTCATTCCAACAACAATCAAAGTTCCTGAAAAGCAAATTCTAAGTCTAGCCATGACAGCCACAAGAAAAATGAGGAGAAACCCAGTAGATGGTTGTATTTGGAAGCCCTCATCAAGAAACTCTGATTTGAAAATTCACCCTGTTCTGACTTCTCCTGGTTCCCTGACCAGAATTTGTGCCTAACTACTCTTGCCTTTGCTTCTCCTTCCCGTTCTTGGCCCACTGATATCCATCCTCCTCCTTTTAAGTTTTTTCAGGACAGAATCAATGAGATGACCCAATGGTCAGTGAACCAGGTGCTCTTAACTGAAGTCCCTCAGGTCTCCTACCCCATACTCCAGACCAATGCTCCAGCCTTTTGAGACCAGCCCCCTTTGCCAATGTCCCTGTACAACAGGAAGTAGCTAAAGAAAGACCACTGTTGCCCCTTATCATCAACAAAAGGCCGGAATGTTAGGTTCCTGACAGGCTCCTAAAATGGCAGCGCAGCTCCCAACATTCTAAAATGGCAGGTTCAGTCTTAGCTCCAGGAAAGTTACTCTGCTTATTGGAAGACCAACCAATCCTGAGCTAAACTGCTCAGCCTACATCATGGAAAGTTACCCAACCACCTAACTGCCTATAAAAGATGTCTGACTTCCCCTGCTTGTTGGTTTCTCTGCTCCCCAAGAGGCAGCCTAGTAGTCTGTTTGCTCTCAAATAAACTACTGTCCCCACCCCCCCAAATAATAATAATGTGAAATTATTCTCCAGATTGCACTGTTATGTCACTCTTTTCTCCCTCCCACAAGAAACATTCCTTCCTGGAGAGAAGCTTGAAAGGCTTAGGAAGCTAAGGAAACAGGAGACTTGGGAAACTCAGAAAATTAGAAGACTCAGGAAATGCAGAAAGTTACAAGACTTACAAGTCTCCTCCCCAAAGTTATATATGCAGTAAGCAAGTACTGAGAGAGAATAAGCAAGTACTGAGAGAGAGTAAGCAAGTACTGAGGGAGACTTTTTGGTGGAGCAACCTGCAACTTGAACAGGGCTGCAGCTCTGGTGAGTCCTCTCCCACGCTGGAGTGAACCTCTGGTGACACTGCTGCCTTTGAGTCATCCATGCGCCTGTAAGTAACCCCAATAAACTCATCGGTTCACTGAAAAAAAATCCTGAGGCCTTACATTGCTAGGTACTTATATCATCAGTCAGCCTGCTCCAGACATCAGGAGAGAACTGCAAAATCAGTCAGTGGGACCCCAAGTTAACTTTTAAATTAGAATTTTAGGGTTTTCAGAACCCTAAATGGCAATATTTTAACCATTCAAAAGGCTCAGAGGGAAGTGATTAGAGACCTAAAAACAGCTCAATTGATAGCTTTAACCCCAGGAATAATACATTTCTCCAGGCAGATAGTAAGCTGCTCCCTCAGAGGAACTCCAAGATTCTGCAGTGCAGAGCTGTGGGAAACCAGGGCAGTGAAAGGAGCGGCCCTTATAGTGGAGTTATAGAAACAGGGCTCTGCCTCCTCTCCAAAGACAAGCCATTGTAAGAGATGATGTATCCACTCTGAAGGGAGGAGGGGCTTTCAGTGCCAAGGATGGCTACCCTTGAAGACAAAAGCTACTCTTGGTTCCCTGAAGCCCCACTCAAGCAACTACAAATAAGCACTGAGGACCCTGGGGTAACTCTGCATATGCACACATATGGATGTTTTAGTAAATGTGTATGTATGGTATGCACTTGTGATATATTTGTGTGTACATGCATGTGTGTGTATATGCATACCCATGTACATATTCAGAGGCAAGAGGAGGATGTCTGGTGGCTTGCTCTGTCACACTCTGCCATATTCCCTTGAGACAGTGTTCTGGATAGCTTTAGTGTCAACTTGACACACCTGGGTTGAGGGAGCCTCAATTGGAGAATTGCCTTCATTGGACTGGCCTGTAGCCATGTCCATGGGGCACCTGCTTGAAGAGTGATGTGGGAGGGCCCAGCCCACTGTGGGTGGTGCCACCCCTGAGCACCCTTTCCTCCCCAAGTTCGTAGTGGTCAGAGTGTTTTGTCACAGCAATGAAAAACAAACTAGGGCAGAGTCTTGGATAAACCTGAAGTTTGCTATTTTTAGCTAGCCAGTCAGCTCCCAGGATCATCTTGTCTCTACCCAAGTACTGGGGTTACAGGCAAGGCTCTTTAAACTCAGGTCATTGGGCTTTCACTGCAAGTGCTCTTATCCACTGACCATCTCCTCAGCTCACTGTGGGTAACTCTTGATATAACAGATAAAAATGTTCATTTTCTTTCCAATATTGGGACTTTGTTCTTTGCTGCTCGCATTAGTCACTTTTCTGTTGCTGTGCTAGAAACACTGACCAAAGCAGTTTATAGAAGGAGGAGTTTATTTGAGCTTACGGTTCCAGGGGAATTATAGTTCGTCATGGTAGGGAGGCATGGTGGCTGGAGGTGGCTGAAGCAGGAGCAGCAGAAGCTAAGCTCTCACATCTTCAAGCAGGCACAGGAAGCAAGAGAGCAACTGGAGATCTGGCAAGGCTTAAGAACTCTCTAAGCCAGCTTCCCCCAGCACA